CCAAACATTCACAGAAGAAGCCATCTCATCCTCTGCCTCTGCCCCCCTCCCCCTTGCTGCCTGCAATAGGTTCACAGAGGACAGGCGCAAGGGGAGGGCACTGTATTCCAGCTCAGCTTTACCCACTAGGAAACAAACCCACAGTCTTTTCCATGAGGGGTCAAAAGTCCAGTTCTGGCTCCCCTGCTGCTGTTTCCTGGTGTGATTCAAGCAGGGGCCATCCCCCAGCTCTAGGGCACAAATCCACACTATGTAAATACTTGCTTCTGAGACAGTCACAGGGAAACCTTTAAATGAGCCTCTTTGCATTTCAAATGAGCCTGGGATCTGTCCATTGGTGGACAGGAGGAAGATAGGGGCTCTGCACAAGGCTGGCTCATATCTGCCCTCTCACCCCCAGGTCACATGCAGATTCTATGTAATGATTGCAACTGGGGCAGGATGGCCCTGTATTACTCCTAGTTTTGCTGGCTGCAGGTCTTCTGAAATCAAGGGCATGGATCGGGGAGACCAGGAACCTGTTTTAGAAATAGTACCAGCTTGCAGGTTGAGTTCATCCACCCCACAGTGGTGAGGCCCTTAAAGTTCAGCACCCAGGAATGCTCAGCAGATACTTCTTCTTGTGTAAGAGCTGGAAATGTGACAACCACACTGATTTCAAAGCGTTTGGCTCATGTGAGTAAGTTGTCTCTTTGCTGTCACACATGCTGCAAAGGGATTCACTTACATCAGTGGTCACCAACCAGTGGATCTCAATCCACTGGTAGATTTTGGAGCCTCTTGCGGTAGATCTTGGAGCCTCTTGGAGTTGATCAGAGGCTGGGGTGGGGGGCTGAATGCCTGCATGCATGCACGCATGTGTCCCAGCCCAGCAGGTCAGGCCATGGGGGAGGGAAGGGGCAGGGGCTAGATCAAGGCCCCCGCTTGAGGGATAGTGTGGCCCCAGCTGGGTGGGACTTACCTGCTGGGGAGGTGCACCCCCAAATATTTTTTTCTCCCTCTGCCTCAATATGCACCCTCCTTCCCTTCCCACAGACTTACCTGCTAGGCGGGGGGCAAGAGGGGGTGGCAGCAGCCCATGGTAGATCTTGGGTTGTTTTTAAATGCCATAGGTGATCTCCTACTTAAAAAGGTTGGAAACCACTGACTTACATTGATACGACAGGGTTGGGAACAGAGCCCAGATCCCTGCTCCATGCTAAGTTCCCTGGATCACTGATGTCCCCACTAACCTGAGTGTTTGACTGCTCGCATCCCTTTCACAGGAAGGCTATGAGGAGATTAAGTGGCCTGGTGTCCCCCAGCCTTTCAGTGGGTGACTTTTTCACCTCATTATCTATTAGAGCTATTTCATTTTACAGCTCTTTCCTGCCTGGATCTGACATTCAGTGTCCTGCTCCTTCCCCCTGAAAATCCTGGCTAGTACCTTCAGTTTTGATGTAACCTCTGCCCTACATGACAATGCCTTCTGGTATTCTCCCTGCACTAATCCAGCACTAATCTCTCTTCTGCCACTGTTCTTCGAATCAAGGCCAGACAAGCACTGGCTGCCTGTTGATCTGGGACAACATGTCACAGCATCTCAAACCAAATGCATATATAGAAGGGAAGATATCCACTGCCCACAAACACCTCAGCTGTACTTCATGTGACAAGGTTGGGGAGCAGGACAGACAACACTTGGTAGACAGGACTGTGAGCTCTTGCGGTGGTGCACTCAGAGCTGTAAGCAAGGCTGTCACTGCCAAAAAGAATGCGGTTACAGTGAGATAAGTGACACAGGAGCCACTTTGCAGTGAGTATGTGACTGGCTTACACTGCATTGCAGCTGAGGGAGCTCCAGCATGGCAAGGAGTATAGGATCCAGCCTACACAAGAACAACAATCAAGTGCAGTACCTATATTTATCAAGTTTAGTCACTGCACTGGTCTGTTCCCCAAGCCAAGATCACTTTAAATGGCATTGTGTAGTAGAGGGTGGAGACCTGTCCAATACACTGAAGACAGGACACCTTACAAGAGTCTACTATAGCCTCCCAGTGGGAGGATCTCAGCTACACACCTATTTTATTGAAATGGGGGATTTCTCCCCAGCTTGTTCCCCTGGCCTTTGGGCTGAGAGCAAACAAGACTTGGGGGAATCCAAACTCCAAGACCTCTGGGCTTGGGGCCTGCATGTAGGATGCCTGCTATGGATTTGGGAGTATCTGAGGCCCCAGGCTGAAGAGTTGTGGAAGGAAGATACTTGCTGGTGGTAGTGCCACACAGACTTGAATGATTGAGCTCTGATCAGTCAATAGAATTCAGAATTGATTTGGCTAATTTGGCTTGAGACACAAAATAATAATTTTTTTAAATCTCCAGTAGGCCTTTGCAGCAGAAAAGCCAAGGCCCATTAGCTCCATGGTGCAAGAACCATGTCTGCTGGCCAGACAAAGCCAAGAGTGGGAACCCTGGTGCGAATGCATTCTAAGATGTCATAGCTTTGCCCCAACGCATAAAATGCTCTGAAGCTCTTCTCTGTGTTCAGAGAGGTTGTGCCTTTGAAGGACAAGGGGCATGAGACAGAGGAAGAGAGTAGCTTTAAAGTTCAGATGGGAGTAATTCTCTCCTAAAAGCATGGGTGAAGCCAGTCTGGAGGTGATTCAGGAGGAAGGGTCATGGCTTGGTTACAGAGATGCTCACTGATCACGGGGAAAGGTCTTTGAGTGATGAGAGATATTACCACCTCCTCTCCATGGCAGTGTGTGAGAGGCAAAATGGGCACAGGCAAATGTGAAGCGTGGAGCTTGAGGAAGCAAAGGCAAATAGTGCAAAAGAAAAGATTCTGTGAATATCCCCTAGCATTTTTAATCAAGTCCCTTCAGATGGTCTGTATGCCTCTGTGATGTCTGCTTTCCAGAAATGTAAAAGCTGTGGGGCAGGGCAGTCACCCACTGCAGAAACTTAAGCCAGGGGATCAGGATATTTGTAAGCATGAGCATTTGCAACTGGGATCTGAGGATGAGCATCATTCTGGCACTATCTGGAACACAAGCCTGTGAGTCCACTCAAAAACTCAAGTATTTTGCAATGAATTAATGCAATAAATTCATGGCCACGCCCCCAAAGAGGATGGCGAGATACAAGAGAGCCTTCAGGCCAGCGCCAGAAGCAGCTAATGGAAATGAGCTTTAGCCAGTGCCACAAAACTGCAAGGAGGAGAGGGCTGGCAGGTGTCCAACAGCTCATTCCAAAGGGGCGAGATGGCGCCGCAGTGCTATCCCCTCTAGGTGTGGGCTTGGTGCCGCACACAAGCTCAGCGGAACCAGGCAGGGCTTGCCAGGAGATGGACTGGCAGGGAGCCATGCAGGAAAACCCAGGTAATAGTGCCAGTAATTCAGTAGGTGGCACTCTTCCTTCTGAGTCACAGCTGACCCCTGTGGCAAGGAGGGGGGAAGGGATCTTGGAGAGGGAGCACTGCTTTGGTGGAGGTGCTGCAGACTGCAGCTCTGACTCCTGCAGAGATAATGCTCGTAAAGGGTTATGGGGCCCTAGCCCTTTTCACAGCAGCAGAGGTGTTAGGTCCTCATTTCCACACATGCAGACCCCCCATGTTCTAACCAAGAGCCAGCATGAATGATTTATATGTCTGGAAATACCGCCTCTCCCCCCCCTGCAGTCTCAATGGGATGCAATATCCTTCTTTACCTTCTGTCCTCAACAGCTGAATGGCTGCTGCCTTCCACCCTGGAGGCAGACACACTTCACTGACACTGAACAGATTCCTGCTTGCAGTCTGGGACATGTTTCGGGATGACAACTTAGCTGGGCAAGCTTATCCTTCTCTCCCTTGTGCACTTCTCCAAGCACTGGGGCAGAGCATACTGGTGAGCCCCATCAGAGTCTGATGGCAAGCAGAGCAGCTGCTAGGGAAAGCACAAGCGGGGGGCAAACAATGAGTCAATAGCAGTTTATAGAGCAGTGACCTCAAGGGGTTGGGTCTTTGGCCCTGGACAGTCTGGATGGTTATGCAAAAAGCCAAAGGTCACATAGGAAGGGAAAGATATCCCAGCATCCTCTGCAAATGTCTGGGGGTTGAAAAGGAGCCAGAGAGGAGCTCCAAACCCAAGAGACTGACAGTCTGACCTGAAAGATATGAGGGGGAAGAGGAAAAAAGGAGAAACAGGACAGGCATGAAGCCACAGACAGAGAAACAGAGAAAACACTGTCTAAACTTTGCTCTTTGAGGGCTCATACTCAGGCCAAGGCAGCTAGTGGCTGGTAATAATTACCACAGGACACTGGTGCCCTGTCCTATGTGAAACGAATGGTACTCTGGCCAGCGCCTAGTGGACAGGTGTCCACACTACACTACACTTGGCACTAACTGGCTACCTGGTTGACATGCTCAGCAGACAGGGTTACACAATGAAGCTGATCCCCATCCCCCATCCTATCGCCCCTCCCCGCCTCAACCACTTCCATCCAGGCCAGAAGTAAGGCACATTAATGGGGAAGCTGCTGCCATCCATGCTATAAACTGATCTAGAGAAAAGGGAATCATACAGGGCTTTCCACCCAGCTGAGTCCAGCAGCAGCAATTTCACTGGGGTGGCTGAGACTTTTCAGTGAAGGATGGCTGTTCTCCTGGTGAAGTTGCCCTGGCTAATTCACACAGCAGACAGCTCATGGGTGTGATAGGGCCTGGCCACTCTGGTCTACCTGAGACCACTGTCTGCCAGGCCCCGCTGCACCCACCTCTGTATGCATAGAGTGAGAGGGTCCAGCAGCCCAGCCCAAGCCAGGAGCTGGAGCTTGGCTCTGCAGGAGGCCAGCCTGTGGTTTGACTCTCAGCCACAAGGAAAAATAAATGTCCCGCTCCTCCTCCTCCTCCTGCTGCTAGACCCTTCCTTCCTTCCCTGCCTCCCTCCCTTCCCGTGGGAGTCGCTCTGCTGTGCCTTCCTGCGGATGCAGTTCCTCCCAGCTTCTCTGCCGCCAAGGGCACCTGGGGTCAAATATTCCCTTTCTGAACAAACAGTATGATTGGGTGGGAGGAGGCTGGGGAGAGGGAGCAGAGAGCAGCTCTTCAGCACTGTGCAAACCAGACCTCAGCCTCCAGGGCACAGAGCAGCCTGGAGAAGGGCCCTGCACTTTGCCACACACCTGAGCACAGGGGTCAGCGTCCACCTCCTCAGGGGCTTCAGATTTACCGCAGGCAGTAGTCTGCAGAGCTCAGCCCTTTCAGCACTGGGACAGGGGCTGCAGGGAGGGCTAACAGCATGGCATCAGCCAAAGGATCCTGCTGTGCCTGCGCTTAATTGCTTTCTCTCTGTATTCCAGGCTGATCGCACTGCAGTAAGTGGGGGTCACTGGAGAGACGGCGGTTCTGGGAAGGGAAAGAGATGGAGGGCAGAAGAGAGGAGGGTAAGACGGAGTTAATTAAAAAGGGCAAGAAAGAGGGGGGAGGTGGGGGATAAAGAAAGAGAGAAATAAGGCTCCAGGAGGAATGAAACAGAAAGATGTAGTTTATAGGGAGAAGGAAAGAGTGGGAATGGAGAAGAGAGGAGCATGCCCTGGAAGGATGGAGGAGAGAGAGACTTTTTAGGACTAAATGTTTCAGGGGTGTAGGTTGTAGCCATGTTGATCTAAGGACATAGGCAGACAAGGTTCTTGGGGTAAATCTGATATCTTTTATTAGACTAACTAAAATAGTTGGGGGAAAAATCTTCTTTGCAAGCTTTCAGGTACAAACACCCTTCATTTAGAAATAAATGTGTCACCAGAGAGAAGCCAAAGTACCATGAGGAGTTACTAACCCCTTCCCCCTCCCCATGCTCAGAGCCAGCTCCATCCCTTGGCCTGAGAAACTCCAACCTGCTCTGACAAAGGGTGTCTGATGCCAGAACAGAGACACCTCTAGGGTTTCTCCTCTAACCCCTCTCCTGAGCAGTGTGATACCATGTTGCAGCCGGCACCCCTAATCCCAGCAGGGAATGAGCCGCTTGTTTTACGTTATCTTTGCATCCACTCACCCCCGTCCTGTGATAGAATTACACCCTGGGACTGTGCCACTGGCTGGAATCACTCCTGCATTGAAAATAGCAGCACCATTGCCATGGAGACAAAACAGCTACTCCTTCCCCAGGCCTTGTCTCTCACCCTCCCTCCTGCCAGCCCAGCAGGCTGCTTTCTCCTAGAGTTGTCTCACAAGTTACCCTGGTAACAGTGTCCCTGGCAAGCAAGGGAAGCTCATAAACACAAACAGTGATTCCCCTGGATGCAGGTCTCGCTCCACTCCCACGTGCCCAGCTGAGATATCACAACAAAGCTGATGTCAGTGCGCAGCTCTGAGAAGTGAGGGTGGCTGCATGTGGAGCCTAGGCCAGGGAAAGCGATGGCGCCACATGGAGCATGTGCAGGAAATCCTCCCTTCAGCCCTGGCACCGAGCTCTCAAAAACGGGACGGAATCAGCACTGCGATAACATTTCCACCAGATCCACCACATCCTCTCCTTCTGCCTGGCGTGGGAACGGAGGGCAAGATGGGTCCTGGCCAGGCGCATAACTAGCAACAAAATGTGCACCCAAGCTCCTAGACCTGTGGCTGCCCTCCTGCCCCCAAGAGGAGTGACCCCACATGCTCCCTATTTACCCAGGTTTTGCATTAACCCAGACTCATAGGAGTCAGCAGCACAGGAGCTTGTGCCCGCATTGGCACCAATGTCCCCTGTGGCCCCAGCGCAGTTACCTAAGGCAGAGTCTCTATCTGGGGATGATGGGCAAATACAAGATGGATTGTAAGGTGAGGCTCAGGAATGGATTGTAACAAGAGTTGCCATGAGGCTGGGGAACAAATCTGTCCTAGCAGGGGATCTCTGACTTGTGCCATGTGCACTTCCATGCTCCTCCCCGTACTGCTCCATGAAGGGAGGAAAGCTCCCAGACAAAATGCAGAGACATCTGCTTCTCCTTCCCCCCAACACCCGGTCCCTCCTCAGACCTCATCTCTCCCATAGCATACACAGGTACCTACAGCCTGCAGATGGCCAGGCAGGAGTGAATCATGGCTAATGCTTCAGACTGGTTAAGACACAAGATGAAATGACTTCCCTGGGGTAACAGTGAATCACTGGCAAGTTAGGGATGAAACTTGGGGCTTCAGCCTTCAATTAGCCTTGTGCTAAGGCTGAAGACCACAAGGAAGTGCAGCTGTCACTGTTGGAAATGCTGCCCTCAGGAAACAAAATGTGCATTAAGGCCTATGCTGGATTTACCTTAGTGTCTCTGATCATTGCTTTTTCCACAGATACCAGCTGGAGCCTGTACTATACCACATGGCCTCAGAAGCAGGCAGCAAAGTAAACTGAGAGGAAATCTGAGTAGCAAAATCTATGATGAAGCTATGGCAAGAGGGAACATAACTGTGATTATAGCTCCCAGTTTCCCTGAAAACCTGTGCTGGGATTCCAGTGTTTCCAACTTCATGGAGCTTGGAGAGGATGGTACCATCAATATGAAACCAAGTGAACAAAATTACCCAAGTAATGAGATTAGCACTGCTAAATTGGAAGTGAAAACCTGGTAATGGAAGACATTGATTTTTGGAAAATACAGCATGTAGGCATCAAAGTAAATGGATCTGGGGACAGTAAATTAATCTTGAGGAAGGGCTTCCAAACCAAAATTGTTGTCAGAAACCAGTTAGAGGCCTTCTATGCCAATACACAATAGACCAAGAAAACATGCTTGTTATAAGGAAGCATTTCCCATGCAGCAAAGTCCATGTAACAAGTACCTGAGAATCAGAGCAATGGTTTGAGCCAAGTCAGAAACTACATTATTAGTCACTGAGCTATTACCATAGGTAAGAGAGATCAAGATCTAGGCAGTGAACAAGCAGGGCTTCCTTCTGATCACAGGTCTGGGGGATGCAGTCTATCATATTAATATACTTACTGCTGCTGTTCTGAAGCACCAGGTGACCTTCAGTTGTGCATCTCAGACAAATAAGAGTCTAAAATTGGCTCTAGCTAGTGGACTGGTATCCTCCAGACAATGCAAAAGCCATTTGTTTCAACTAGTAGCACCCTTCCTACTTGATACTAAGCTCCTGCAATCCCTACCAATGCTCTCTAATCCTCATCCATGATACCACCTGTGTTCCAGCTCTGGGTCCCCAGCCAGCTTACCCCACCTATTCTAGCCATTGGCAGACTGCCTTGCCATTGCTGGGTGGAAAGGACAGAAGGCAGCATGAGCCAGGTTTCCAGTGTCTCCAAAGTCATAGAAAGGAGAATTCCCAAACTGGCTGGGGAATGTCTACAGACAGACATCAGAAAGTGAGTCAAACTTTCCAAAGCCCCTAAATGACGTAGCCCCATTTTCCAAAGCCCCATTTTCAAAAGTGACTGAGACACTTAGGACCTTGTATCTCCCTGATAGTCAATGGATTCCGGCTCCTAAGTCACTCAGGCACTTTTGAGAATATGACTCAGCATCCCTGCTAGCTGCCTAAGCAAGCCATCCATGCCACTCATGGGAATCTCCTAAAAAAAATAAAAGAATATAATTTGTGCCATTTCTGCATGGGTAATATAGATACATGCCCACTTGGGACAAGGCTGGGAACAGAAAACTCATATCATGTGTGATCTAAACTGGGATTTGAATTGTGGAGAGCTTAGTCCCCAAACTGTGTCCCCTCCTGCCCCCCGCCCAAGCTCTGGGCACAGCAAGTGAAAAAGGACTGATGTGCAAATCAGCAGAAGTCCAGGAGGGGAGAACTGGATGACAGGCAAATAAGTAGCTGGAGAAAGAGAGCGTGTGTGGGAGGGAGATAACGGGTTTAAAGGGCAATGCAAAAAGATTTTGTTCTTGGTGTTTATGACCTAAGATTGATGAGGATTTCTTTCTCCCCCCTAAGACTGTCACTTCCCCTCCTCTTTTCAAGTGAAATTCCATCCACTGTGGCTTCTGGATGTGGACGAAGCATGGGAGGGAGGGAGGGAAGGAAGGAAACTGGATTCTCCCAGTCCTGTCTTGCTTTGGTTTTAGTAAGGGAGGAGTGGGAACAACTGCCTGACAACCCCTCCAATCCTAGAGTCAGGAGAGGAAGCAGTTACTGAGTCTGTGCCATGCTCTAGCTGCTGGGAAGTCAAAAAGGGAACCAACCCTAGCTGCAGGAAGCATCTCACCATAGTAACAAACCCTGTTCTTCTCCTTGGATGGGCAAGTGGGGCTCTGGGCTTCCCTGTCCTCCAGCTCCATCCTCTCAGAGTTGGCTCTCCAGACCCCTGCTTGGGGGGAGCATTTTCCCCTTGTCTGTCCATTGGCTACCCCATGTCTGCAGATAGTTCTTTCTGTTCCTCTTTTCTAATCCTCTCCCCTAGTGATTCACTGCCACATCTTGCTGCTCACTGCATCAATACCTTTGATTTCCCTTTTTCCTACTCCCCTCTTGCTTCCCCTCACCTCATTTCTTTTGATTACAATAAGGAGAAAGAAAAAGTGGCTGGATTAACATGGTGATAATGCTGGCCTTGCCAAAGTCAATATGGGACTAGGAATTGCTACTGAACCTAGTAGAACCAAGAGCAGAGCCCACTATGGACAATTATGGGAGGGATCTTGGTAACTGCACTCACTGCTCTTATACCATTAATGCAGAAGTTAGGGGCTCAATATAAAAATGACCAAGTGAAATTCTCTCACCTGGTTTATGCAGAAAGTCCAACCAGATGATCGCAGTGGCATGTTTTGGTATTAAAAATCTGTGGATTAAGGTACTGGACACCCCAGACAGGGAGCTATTAGAGACAGGTTTAAACTGCACGTGCCGAAGCCAGAGCCAGACCCTACTTTTGGAAGCACTCCCATGTGCTGAGCTGAGACTTCCCCACAAGAAGGCCTTGCCAGCTCAGATCACCGGGCTCCAAACACCTGGCTGTTCACAGATGTTCAGCTCTGGGGGTTTAGCTTAGTTTACTGCAATAGGAGTCATTTTCCAAAACTCAAATCCAGATCTTGAGGCAGATTAGGAACCACATGGGTGTTTGGGGTGCTGAGGGGATAGAGCAGGGGCTGGGGCCCCTGTCTAACAATTAATACAGGCTTTCTTTTCCTGCTCTGCCTGGCTGCCGGGTGAAGCAGCAGGAGAATGTTCCATTGTTTTCTTTCCCTTTTTCTGTGCATGAAGCTCTCCTTTGCATTGGACATGCCTGAACCTGTCCTTAGGCTCAGATTAATCCCCTACAACACCAGAGACGACAGCTGAGGTCAGACGCTGTCGGCAGAGGGGAGGAGGAGGAGAAGGAGAAGGAGGAAATCTTTCCCCAGGAAACCACACATGTTCCTAACCAGAGCTTTGGATGTGAACAACAGACGGTTGTGCCTGGTTCTCTTAGACTCTGTTAATACTGCTGGCAACAGCCCAAAGCCTGCATAGCTGCAACACACTACTGAGTCCCAGCGTTTTGCCCAGAGACACAGGAAGCTCGCAATCTTCATGACATAGCTGTAACCTTCCCGATAGGGAGACTCCATTCAGCTCCACTAAAGAGGGCTGCTGTTCTGTTATTTCTGACAGACCTAAAGAGGTCACCCTGAAATATGGCAAGGGAGTTAATAATACTGGAGCACCAGCCGGCAGTGCTGGGAGGAAACTCTCCCTGCTGGCACCAATTGTTAAGGTTCTTGGAGCAACGCAGCAGCATCTGGGGCCTGTTTCTACAGCATAAAAGACAGGGATAGCAAGCCAGGGGAAGGGAATGATTAAAATGAAGCTAAGAGCTGATGTAAAGGCAAAGCTAAGACAATCTGGGGCCAACTATGAAACTATGAAACAGAGTCACCATGACATGAGGCTCCTTTGTAGTTTTGCAACTATAGCCCCACAGAAGAGCAGCAGGGACATTTTTCCACCCCAGACCTCAAAGAGAGGTACTAGCATGCAGAAGAGGCCTGCCAGCACTCATACACCAAATGTTTTGGCTTCTGGGGTGAGAGGACCAGACCCAGTAGACACTTCACCAGCCACATACCATCCTGCAGTGGTGCTAGTAGCCCCTGACTGCCCTTCCTAGGTGCTGGGGTTAATAACACCCCATTAAGATGAATGGGGCAGTCCCTTCTGTGTCCAACACTCTGCAGACTCAGGCAGACACAGTGACATCAACACTGGTTACACTTAGGTCATGCTGTCAGGCTCCCTCTGTGATGATCATGAGGGGTAACCCTTGTTTAAACAAAACAAAACAAAATGAAAAGATTCTGTCCTCATCACAACTCCAGAGGCTGATGCCCAGGGCTTGTACGGTGCAAGTCTTGGTTCAGCCTAGGGAAAGAAGATGCAGCCTAACATACAGAAAGATCCTGGAGCAGTCACTGTGCATCTCTCACAGATGGTTGAACAACCAGTAGTGTCTGCCCACAGCTGCTTTCAGCATTGGCTGGCATTTAGAAAAGGAGATGCCAACAGTAAGAGCATTAGCTCTCCACAGCAGGTATCCCCTATGCACATCCATCAGGAAGGGAGGGACCAAGCCAATTTTCCATTATAAATCTCCCCCATTCGGCAGCCACTACCACAGCTGGAGGGCAAAAACACATACTGCAGGTTGGATCTTGGTGTGTGTTCCAAAAAAGAGAAGGAGGGGAGGGGCTGTTCTGGTCTCCTGAGCATTTCACACCTGCTCCTAAAAACACCTGCCTAAACAACAAGTCAAAACAGCTTGCTTTGTCTGCTCCACATAAAACTACAATTAGAAAGCCGTGGCAACCCCATTGTGACCCAAACTGACACAGGCCAGGAAATTCAAGATTGAGAAGAAGTAGGTCTGCCCCTGAACTCACCCTCTGTGCATGTTAAAAAGACCAACATCATCTTGGAAGTGGTGAATTTGATACAAGGGGAAGGCCAGGAACATTTCCCCCTCCATCCCATTCAATTATCTGATTGCTGGTCATGCTTCCATTACTTCCTGGGCAGGGAATGTAATTTTTCCTCCTCCCACTGTGTCCCTGGAGTTTGCTTTGTCATTTGGGGACAACATTATGACACACTACTTGATTCAGTCTGCAGCTCCAGACCTGACTCTGGCTTGCCCTCCCCATCCCTTCCCTACCCCGCAGATAACAATCACCAATAAATCACTTTTTTGGAGAAGACAGGAGAGGAGAGAGGGTCAGAGGACACCCAAAGCAAGAGGCACAAAGCTCCAAAAACCCATTTTGGACTTGCTCTCCAAAGAGCTCTGCATTTCATTAGCACTCTGCAAAGCAGCACATCCAGTTCTGGCATGGGGGGTGGGGGGTTTCTTATGTCGGGCGCAGAAATTATAAACAGAAGACAAGCTGGAGAACAAGCTGCTTGCGCTTGTTACTGCATCTCTGCACTGGCCCCAATCTGACCTCACCTTCTTGGGTTTATTGGCTTGGGGCAGGCCAGCAATAGTGCTCTAACACCTGGACCCCTCGGCCTCACTGCCAAGGACCTGTCAACTCCAAATTACCAGACATCTCCTAGCTAGCTTGGTGACCTTGCCAAGGTGAAGTACCCCCAGCTTGGCTACCAATCCCACTGCTGTAGCAAGGTTTTTCCTAACACATTGCTCCATGAGACACCCCTACTGGCAACCAAATTTCAAAGATAGCTCCTGCCTTTCAGTGGTTGGTAGCATATTAATGAGAGATCAGCCTCGGTATGCCCAGCCCAGCCTTTAAGGTGAAGCTCCCAGGTCTTCTACGTGTCTTGTCAGCAAACTGAACTCTACCTTTCCCTGGCAAACTTCCCTTTATCCTCTCTCTTCCTGGCAGCATCCCCTCCCTGTGCCATCAGTCTTATCCAGACAAACAATGAGCCTGTGTGTCTCCTAGAAGAGCATGAAGAGGCCAAGGTTAGGGATTCTTGTGGGCAAAGCAACCCATCTCTTCTCCCTGCTAGAGAAAGCTCCAGTGGAGTAGCATGAGCAAGCTCTATCTCCCTTGCAGCTCAGCATACCAATTGCACCCAAACCTGGCAACAGAGCATGGGGTAGCACAAGAGTCAGTGCTTCAAAAGAGAGGGAAGCCTCCCTCTCTCCACTTTAACTAACATACTCCTGAAGCATCGTGGGCAGGCACAGCATGCTGCAGACAGATGCAAGTCCTGAGGAACGTGCCAGGGCCAGGGTGAAGAGCTGGACCCTTACCTTCAATCAAGGTTTAATTATGCTCACTACAGGGCAGAAGAATTTGTATAAAGCACTACTGTCCCTTCTCTGCCCCCAAACGCAGGGAGCTTTTTGCAAGTCCCCTGTCAAGCTTTTAGTCCCCCTGTCCATTAAGCAAGTGGCCTAGGATTTAAACCTTCCCAGGATCTCTGTAGCACTTCCCCCACCCCACAAGCTCTCGGACTGCTCCAGCTTTCCCTAAAGTAGGCAGCCAGCTGTGCTCTCCAGTCAAGGGAGTGGCAGAGTCAGGAATGCAGCCCCCCACCCAGCCTTCCTTCTCCCTCCCCACAGCTCCCTGGATTCCAGAGTGTTGAGTCAAGCCGTGCAAGGATGCTGCAGCAGTGAATAGATATTCCCTCAATAGGTAAAAAAAAAAAAAGGATGTGTGTGCAGGGTCATCTCAGGCCATTCTTTCAGCCAGTCGCTGGAGCACATCCAAAAGGGGAGAATACATCCAAAGCTAAACCCAGTCTCTTTACACCTCCACCCCACCCACGCCTGTTCTGTCCAGTGCCTTGGCTGGAAACATTAGCTGGCTGGTATCCCATGAGATGCATATGTATTCATCCCTCTAAAGGATGAGATGATTCACGCCATTAACACTCCCTTACTGTTCAGAGCATGACTGCCTCCCTCCAGAAGGTATCCCTAATTAGAGCAATAGCTCACACACTGGGGGCTGGAACTAGTGATCAGTCATTACCAATTACAGTATGGGTAAAGTGAAAGCAAAGCCTTCCCTTCCATCCTTCCCACCTTGGAAGAATGACCCCACTTCCCATTGCAAACTCACTTCTTATATCAGGAGGAAGGATTGTTAAGAGTGCATTCCTTTCCCAATCCAAGGCCTTTGGTGATCATCACAGTGCAAACCCATTACTCCAGGTAGGGAAACTGAGGTACTAGGATGTGCCATCACACAGTGGATCCATTCAGAGAGGGAGATAGATCTGCCTCCCTCCTACTTTCCTTTGTGCATGAAGGACTGGGAAGTAAACATACACAACAGGGAGCTGAAAACGTGCCTGTTGTAAGATAGATAAGAGCACTTCCACAAAACAAAGTCAACCAACTTGGCTCACCAAGCCAAAGGCCACTTAAAATAGTGCCCATGTAGCTGTGGTCTAACATGAGCTAAGTTACATGTGTACATGACTTTTCTCCCTGCATTGGTAAACCCACACAAAAATATTAGCAAAGCAGTGAAGCAATGGCAGCAAAGCCTTTTAAAGTCTCTCATCACCATTGCTATTATAGGAATGCAAAGATTCTGCCATATTAGTATTGTGTCATATCTTTAGACTTAAGTGGTTTCCAAAAGACTCACCCAACTCTTCAAGTGATGCAAGTTTTTATTTTTATCTGGTTTATTTACATTTGCCTCTGCGCTCACTGGACATTCACACAAGTCATATTTGGACTGCTGCCTATTCTTTATGCTTATTCATCCCTGAGGCTTAGTTCTGGTTTATGCCACCTCCTTCAGCTTTCCAGCAAACTAAGTGCAATGACATGTACAGAACAGAGAGCACAGAGCAAGGAATTTCAGGCAAAAGAGCTGAAGAAATATAGACCGTTTTTGTACCCAGGTGTTTGCAGGAACAGAAAAAGCTATTAGAAAGAGCCAGAGGTAAACTTCTAAATCAATTGTTGCCATTGGCCATCAATTTCTTTAGCCTTCCCAGTTGTATGGGGAGCCTGCAGTTTAGTTTATCATCACCATCCTTCTTCTGTTTGCTCCAGCTCCCAGGAGAACAAAGCACACCAGCCCCTGCCCCCTTTAACAAGGGTATAAAGGATTTACTGAAAACGTCTGTACAAATAGATGGATCACAAGCTGAAGTGCTACAGGCATCCCAAGCTGTCTAGTTGCCAATTGAGTTTTTCCATCTGCAGAATGTATTAATATTTTAAAATAAGAAGTCTGGACCCCCCACTCCAAAAACAAAAAAACCAAACCCAAAATAAAACAAAACTCTTGAACATCAGAACCACCCACCAAAATACACAGCTTTGATTGAGAGGCCACAGCCAAGGCTTTCCAAACCAGGGCTGCTAAGTAACCACAGCCCAGTCGATCTCTTCAGAGCTGTAACTGAAGAGTAATTCCCCCATTTACCATCATGCCCTATAGTCCACAATATTACGCCATAAGCATAATTATTAAGTACCCTTAAAAAAAAAGGAAAAGAAAAAAAGGCAGTATTACTGTCGGCTTCGCTCATACTTTCTAGTATGTTGGTTGCTAGGCACTGACAGAAGGAAAAACAGGATAATACTGAATGGGCAAGGGTGCCATTTTTACCACTGAGTTCAGGTTTCCCACCCCTACTATATATTAATGGGGAGTTGCTGTTCACTGCTGCTTGCATGACTGTTTCAGTTGAGCCTATACTTGACAAGTATACATAGTCCCATCTATGACTCCGCTGCAGTGAATTAATGGCAATATAATCCGAGATAGGTCTGGCAATGGTTTGGGAAGCTGGACCGGGTGTCTCAAGGGCAAGGTGCCACATACCACTGGCAAAGTAAAAGATCACACATTTACATGCTTAGAGGACAGATCATACCTGTCAAAGGCAGTGCTGATGTATCCCAGAATAGCCTTTATTGCTGGTATTTCCAATGTTGCCAAGTTAAGTTACAGAGTATTTGGTTGGTCATCTATTATATTACACAACTCCTGGAAAGTTAGGATGGGTAGAACCAGTGCCAACTGGTGCTGAAAGGAAGCTCAGGCTTGTCGAACACAGGGAGAGTCAGTGCCTCCTGACCAGCTGGAACATAGACCTTTCTTCAGTTGTCTGTGGCACAGAAAGCCTGTTAGGGCTTTTATGAATATGGAGCTGTTCCTGATTAGCTCCATGTGTTGACATGTATTCCAAGACAGAATGTTACTCCCTGTTCAGCCAAACACTTATCATCCCCTCAAGTTGAGTAGGAATGGCTCCATGTGTTCAAAACACCAGTAACTACAGAGAAGCTCCCACCTGTTGACAGATAGCTTCTCAAAAATAAAAGGAAAGAAAAAAAGGTAAGAGTGAAACCCACTGACTGCAGGTTTGAATAGGAAGACCTTGTCTGGACAGAAAAATGGGCGGGTGGAATTGGTGAAGTATGAGAGTTCTCTTCCCTACACCTTCAACTAAGTGAAGTAATTACACAGAAGCCAGCCAGCAGGATAGGAGAATAGAGCAAGACAGCTCTGTAGACAGCCACTACAGGAGCCAAAACAAAAAAAAACAAAAGAAACCCAACCACAACCCCCACTTCCCCCCAAAAAGCCCCAACCAACCAAAAACACATACTAGCCACACCCATTACACCTAAAGGTGACCCACTTGAAATGGAAAACAAATCAAATGTGGGCCTGCATGGATAAGTGGAGGATATCCTCCCACGGATATATGAAGCATCAAGATAGCCTCAAAGAGGGCTGGGGAAACTTCAGGAAATCAAATTCTCTCTTCAGGCCTATTAAGAAGTGGTGACATTCCTGGAGCATGACACTGAAAGTACCAAGAGGTGTAGGGGAGTAGCAGATTAGTGTTTAGACTTCAAATCAAACACTTAACTCCTACAATATTCTGGGAGAACAGACACCCCCCTTAAGAATTTAGCTTCCTTGTAAAGACTGAGTGCCCAAGGTTCTCACCACCACTGCTGGCTGCCTTGTTTAAGAAGGTCAGATCCAATTCTTCTAGGTTTGCTGCAGAACTTGGGGTTTATGGTGTGTGTTAAGTTCCACTATCTTATTTGAAAAGGTAAAACATTCTCTCTCCCCAGAGCCTTCTTTTATCTAAAGCAGTGTACCTTACCAAGCATGACAAAAATATTATGACAGAACAGAGTCCCTTCTCTCCATTGTTGTTTTCGCTCTGCTCTTTTAGTCCCCTCCAATCTTCCAAGAGACAGGAACTCAGGAACTGCATAGCTGCACGTCCAATAGTTTCATAGTTTCTAGGGTTGGAAGGGACCTGAGCAGATCATCTAGTCCGACCCCCTGCCATGGCAGGAAGAGCACTGGGGTCAAATGACCCCAGTAAGGTGGTCATCCAACCTCCTCTTAAAAACCCCCAGGGTGGGAGCCTGCACCACCTCACTTGGAAGCTGGTTCCAGACCCTAGCCGCCCTGACCGTGAAGTAGCGCCTCCTGATGTCCAACTTAAACCTTCCCTCCGCCAGCTTGTGACCATTGTTCCTGGTCACTCCTTGCGGCGCTCGGGGGAACAGGGACTCCCCCAGCGCCTGCTGATCCCCCCTAACCAGTTTATAACAGGCCACAAGATCCCCCCTCAGCCTTCTCTTTTGAAGGCTGAACAGGTTCAGGTCCCGCAACCTTTCCTCATAGGACCTACCCTGCTGTCCCTTGATCATACGAGTGGCCCTCCTCTGGACCCTCTCCATGCTGTCCACATCCCTCTTAAAGTGCGGCACCCAGAACTGGACGCAGTACTCCAGCTGCGGCCTGACCAGTGCCGCATAGAGGGGGAGGATCACCTCCTTGGACCTGCTCGAGATGCATCTGTGGATGCACGACAAGGTGCAGTTGGCCTTCCTAGCCGCCTCCCCACATTGCCGACTCATGTTCATCTTGGAGTCAATAATGACTCCCAGATCCTTTTCCACCTCCGTGCTGACAAGAGGGGAGTTCCCCAGCCTGTATGTGTGGTGCCGATTGTTCCTCCCCAGGTGCATCACCTTACACTTGTCCGTGTTAAACCCCATCCTGTTCTCCTCCGCCCATCCTTGTAACCTGTCTAGGTCCAACTGTAGCCTGTTGCTCCCCTCTAATGTGCCCACATCCCCCCACATCTTAGTGTCATCAGCAAACTTGAACAGGGTGCTTTGCACCCCCTCATCCAAATCACTGATGAAGATATTGAACAAGGCGGGCCCAAGGACCAAGCCCTGTGGGACCCCACTTCCCACGTCGTTCCAGGTTGAGGACCCATCCACTACCACTCCCACATAGTGGGAAGCCCTATGGCCCCCCCCCCCTTCCCTAGCTTAGAAAGGAGCAAAGTCTCCCACAGACCAAGGTTTCTGCAGTTGATTTAAATGATTTTCCCAACATTTCTGCAAACTGAAGTCTTGTGCAATCAAGGATACACTTTGTAAGGGTTATTAACTAAAAAGGCTGAAGTCTCCCTAACTCCTATGTATCAGCATTAAACTGACCACATCTTGTTAATAAAAAAAAAAAACTACACAAATCTGTCTATTCCCCACTGTAATTATTATTGTTCTGGTAAGCCTAAATTAATGGTGAAGACCATAAACATGAAGTAGTAGTTTCTCAATGGAAAAGACTTCCACAGGTTATAAGTATGGTATAAGAAAAGATCATTCTTTTCCTAGAAGCTTTTAGTTGACCAAGTTATTTATATTACCACCCAATACCTAGGACTTACTGGACAAGACAGGACAACAACCTTGTCTATTAAGAAAACATTAGTTATTTTGGCAGTGTAGCTCTTGTCATATTGACTTCTCCGTCCAACTAAAGAAGGGGAGGCTGGAAACTGATAATTTACACATTATTTTTTAATAAAAAAGTACAAATGCTACTACCACTATTCCCCCACCCCCACCAAACTCACTGCAGCCTTACTAGCTATCTCTGGATTTTTTTTTTAAAACAGAGACAGCAAGAGAGCTACTGGGCATACCCCAAGTCAAAACCCCCCAAATTCAGCAGGCAGTTTGCCAAGCCACAGAGCTGAATAGGGAACAAGCTACAGCAAGAGGCATTTCAGATGACTTGGAAAAAAAAAAGTCCTGGGAGGGACTCTCATAATCTTGCCTTAACAGAAGCTTCCTTTCTTCACAGCTCCCAGAGGAGCTAGAAACAAAACCACCCAGACCCTCTGGGTGGATCCAGGACACAGCCACCACACCCTCTTCATTGGCCATGCCCAGCTCTTGCCCTTCCCACCCACTCTGGCCAAGCCGCTGCATAAATGACTACAGCTGAACAGTTGAAAATATTTAATACGTGTTACACACGTAGCAGTACAATTTCCAATACAAAAAGACAAAATACATCACAGAAGGAGATAACACTGTACTGTACAACCCCCGCCCCCCCGGAGAGCCCCAAGCCTTTATAGAACAAAGGCCAGGAGTCCTCCCGCCTGCTGGAGAAGGCTCAAGGACTTGCCCCAGTGTCTGTAAACGTGGTTCCGCTGCATGAAACTCTTGGCAAAAAGCACCATGTAAATCGTCCTGACCTCCAGCTTCTCCAGAGGCGGCTTTGAGAAAGCTTGCCAGGAACTTCCAACTTTCCCGGCTCAACCTACTGCACCCCAAGTGTCTCAGGCCCCCAAGGATGGGGCCAGGCTTCCCGGAGAAGGTGGACTGTGCAAGGCTGGCTCCGGGCAGCATTCGTGGCAGGCAGGCGCACAGGGGCTGCTCCTGCCCTGCTCCCACCAGTGCGGCGCAGAGGAGGAGCATGCAGGGGGCTCCGCGGCACTGCTCCCCACTTTCTGCCTGCTCGCAGGAGGAAAGCCCCTTCTTCCCCAGCTGGTGCGTGGGTGCAGCGCAGCGCTCTGGCCAGGGGGCACCCCACAGCCCGGGCCTGCGGGGCAGAGTCCTGGGCGCGGGTGGTCAGAAGGCCACGATGGCCGTGCTCCAGGGGTTGAGGTTCCGCAGCACCGGCTCGTCGCAGCAGATCTGGCCGGGCTCGCCCGCCGCCGCCGCCTCCCCGCCCGC